GTTTAATATACAGCCTTTGTCTGTGCCATTTTAACTCCATTACATTTTTAAAAAAGATCAACTTCTTTTTTATTTTTTTTTTTTTTTTTTTTTTTTTTTTGGCTTTACTTTCCAAGTTAGTTTCTTGAAAAACCCTAAATAGCTTAGACTCTCTTGTTGCATTTTACGTAGCGTTCACTAAATATTGCATATGTCACGGATATACTCCCTTTCAGATTTGAAATTCATCAATCCTTCCACTCTCAGAGCTTGGTTTAGAGGTGGCTCTCCCACAGGGAAGGGAAAATTTGCAGTTGTAGATGTTAGAGATTCAGATTATGTTGGGGGCCATATAAAAGGTTGTTTCCATTACACAGCTGGAAACTTCCACTACACGCTCCCAGAGTTGTACAAAAAATTGATAGATAACGATATTAATGATGTAGTTTTCCACTGTGCACTCTCTCAAGTCCGCGGACCATCGTCCACGTTAAAGTTCTTACGCTCAATCAATGAATTGAGCGAGTCAGATCAGAGGGTCATGGAAATGAAGAGAGTATGGGTGTTGAAGGGTGGTTTTACGCAATGGCAGGAAGAGTACGGTAACGATGCAGAAGTGACGGAAGACTACGACGAGGAGATTTGGAAGTTCGGACAGATATAGACAGAATACAAGCGGATACATTCATGCATTGAATATAGAATATATGTAGAGAGTAAGCTGGTAGTACGAATTCAACTTTAGTGTGGCAGCTGAGCAGTTCTATTATAATGTTTGGTCAGAGGGAGACAGGCAGGTTAGAATATGCCAGCTTTTAAAGAATGTAAACAGATCACCTTCATAATACCGAGAAGAGCAATTGCAAAGAATACTAGATCAGTGAGAGCTTGGAGGCTTTTAGTACTCCAGCATCTTTAATGGAATGTAAAAATTACATAGCGATAAACCAAAGATATGAAATTACAGCACACATATATCAGTATGCCAGCCTTTTCGAGAGAGAGAGAGTGAACAGAACAGTATGAAGAGCAATGGCAAAGTACTTTAGTGAACATTGACAGTATGGAGGCTTCCAGTACTCCAGCTTCTTCAGTGGAATGTAAATAGTTCTACTTTTGGGTCCACGAGGTAAAGAAATGCAAATTGTTGCAGACAAGAGCCAATATCTATCAGTATGCCAGCTTTCTCGAGAAAGAGTAAACAGATCACTCTCATTAGGTTTGAAAGAGCAGTCGCAAAGAACAGTAGCAGACCAGTGAGAGTATGGAGGCTTTTAGTGCTCCAGCTTCTTCGACGGAATGTGAATAATTTATCTTCGTTCTCAATGCGATAAGCCGTAGACATGAAAACACTTAACAGATCGACTACTAAAGAGAGAAAGACAAATGTATACAAACTAGTATAGCAGCAACGAGGAGCCAGGCTTTGCATGCCAACTTCTTCTAAAGAGCGTCGGCAGATCACTCGTCGTTATACTTTCACTCTATCACGAATTGACGAGCTTGCACGAACTTCATAGGGCTGAGTGCTTAGACGATAAGCTGAATCAGAATGAAACATTCGGGCCAGCCCTCTTCGTGGCTCTGCTAGCAATTCAAGTATAATATATCTACAGTGTCATGACAATTAGCAGGCTTACCTAGATACCCTGATTCATAATTTCAGCATGGTGGAATCTGGATACCTGATCCTAAGGTGATCAGTCGGGGCTGTCCATTCGCTGCTGGTTAGTTCCTAATCTGAAGAGGCTGTGATGAATTTTTTTTTTTTTTTGTTTCTTTTTTTTTTTAGGAATGCCCCAGTTCTTCGTAGACACTCGTAAATTTGACGTTCTTTGCCTGGTAACAATCCATGGTTACATTGTTGTAGCTCTATGCTAAGTGGCCACTCACGAGCACCTTTGTTCCTCTCAAGTCCTCGAGCAGAGTAATATCCCTTATTCTACACCTACACCTCCTTCCTTGATCTACCTCCTACTGGAATACCTCGACCATTTCTGCTTCACCGTTACCTTGACACCTTTTTATTTTTAGAAGTGCGCGTTTCGCGAATTCCAACGGGCTTGGTCTTTCGTTTCCCAGAACTGAACAGCCTTGTAGCGTAAGCCACCTAAAATTACTTCAGATCACGTAGAGCGTGTAAACTAAAAATAAAACCGAGACGGTGCGAGCGGTATATATATGAGCAGGTTGCAACGATCTTCTTGGAGTATTTTTGGTGTTGCTTCATTTTTTATTATTTAACGTTTGACATTCTTTAACCTAAAATGCTTAAATCCTTACACCCACTATTATTTATTATCTCGCTAGTTGCTGCAACCACGACGACAAGTTGCAATCCATTGCTGAGCACTTCTTGTCCCACAGACCCTGCCTTGGGTAAATCTATAGAGATCGACTTTTCCGAGGAATCGTCATATTTTAACAGAACGTCGGGTGTTGGGTCCATTACATACGATGAAGATGCCGGTGTCACCATGACTTTGGCCAAGAGATACGATAACCCAGCTCTTAAGTCAAACTTCTACATAATGTTCGGTAGAGTTGAGGTGCACATGAAGGCTGGTAACGGTACTGGTATAATTTCGTCATTCTATCTTCAGTCAGATGACTTGGATGAAATCGATATTGAATTGTTTGGTAGCGATACCACCCAGTTCCAGTCTAACTTCTTTTCCAAAGGTAACACCACTACATACGATCGTGGTGTCTATTCTAATACCCCTTCATCACCTCAAGATAGCTACTTAAACTATACCATTGTCTGGACGCTGACCAAATTGGAATGGTGGTTAGAAGGCACATTGACCAGGACGTTATTGAGCACAAACTCTGAAGGTTTCCCACAGACACCTATGTTTATCGAAACTGGTATCTGGGCCGGTGGTGATGCTAGTAACGCGGAAGGTACCATTGAATGGGCCGGTGGTAGCACTGACTACTCTCAAGCTCCATTTTCCATGCTGATCAACAAGTTGCTTGTGGAAGATTACTCCACTGGTACTTCATACTCTTACGGAGACACATCTGGTGACTGGACTTCTATCGAGTCTAATGGTGGTACCATCAACGGATCTGAATCTTCGGATTCAAGCTCAGATTCGGAATCTAGCTCGTCAACTTCAACTAAGACCACTGCTAAGACCACTTCTCTGTCTAAAAAGGCTACCACTACATCCAAGACTTCATCTGAGGCAACCACATCCAAATCTGACAGCGACTTAACACTGTCAACTGAAGCATTAACTAAAGCTAGTGCCGCCTCAGGCGTAACCAAGGTCGTTGCGGATGCTTCCAGCTCTTCTGTCGCAGGGTCCACATCTGCTTTAGTTGCTTCCACTACCCTTTTAACTTCCACTTCATCAGGTACCTCGTCTACATCAGTCTCGTCCTCCAAGGCTACTGTCACTACTAGCTCCAGCGGCTCAGCTTCCACTATTGCTGTCAACTTCTCATTGTTGGCTCTTATCTTCTCTTACATTATTTAGAACGTAGTATATTTTACTTTTCAATTTACTTAATAAAAGTTATTTAATGACAAAAGCTATGTAATGATTAATACTTTACAAATCTAAATTTTGAGTGCATCTTTTGTATTTTGGGTTAAATTAAACTAGGAGGTTCCTGATAGGGGCCAGTTGGTTGCTGATATTGTTGGAATTGCTGCCCGTTTGGTTGCCATGCCTGTGTAGGTTGCTGTTGAAATGGTTGGAACTGGAATTGTGTTTGCTGCTGTTGGAGTTGTTGAAATTGTTGTTGTTGTTGCTGTTGCTGCTGTTGCTGTTGTTGCTGATGTTGTTGTAGCTGCTGCTGGAATTGCAACTGCTGCTGAGTATGTTGTTGTTGCAATTGTTGTTGGGTATTGTGCTGTTGCAATTGTAACTGAGCATTTTGTAACAAATTCTGCTGTCTGCTTGCTTCTTGGGTCTCCGGAAATACGGAAATAGTTGGTAACCTCTCCAAACCCCCCGCGGTCGCTTGAGGCTTTAATTGCACTGGTCGAGCACTATTGAATAGAGTAGACGTCGTTTGCGAAACTTTGAATGGGTTTCCAGTAGAATTGGCCTCTACCTTATTTTCCTGCTGGCCTCCGTTGTTAAATGTCAAAGCAGTCGTTCCACTTGCTGATGAAAATCTGGAATTTGCAAATGGATTGTTAGCAGAAATGACAGAACTTCTATTGTTCCCAGTAACAGAGTTATTTCCTGTCATACCTGCAAACGGATTGGTACTTGACCTGTTAAGAGCGGGCTGTTGTAGTTGCTGCTGCTGGAACGTACCAGTACCATTAGCCAATTGACCTGTAGGGGTACTTTGAAGGAATGGGTTTCCAGTAGATTGAGGTTGAATGTTACCAAATCCTGTGAATGTTGGTTGTATTTGTGCTTGTTGGGCTTGGAATGGAGATGTACTCTGCTGTAAAAGTTGCTGCTGCTGGAGTTGTTGTTGTTGCTGTTGTTGCTGCTGAAGCTGTTGTTGTTGAAGTTGCTGTTGTTGAAGCTGAGCTTGTAGTTGCTGTTCTTGGTACTGTTGTTGCTGGAGCTGCTGCTGCTGCTGCTGCTGCTGCTGCTGGAGTTGGAGTTGTTGCTGTTGTTGCTGCTGCAGCTGCAGGTCAATCATGTTGCCCCATGGGTTAAATGTGCTTTGTTGAATAACCAACGAGTGATTTCTCGCACCATCTTCTGTCGATGCCACTTTCTCTTCCTTCTTTTCATCCCTCTTTCCCACGTGAACTCCGTTCTTCTTGCTCTTTTCTAATAAATATTGTCTTCTATTAACTTCAAAATTTGGATCCTCTAAATATTCTTCCAACAGCAGGGTCAATGCAGTTGGGGCATGCTTAATAGTAGGAACATGCAATTTCGTGGCATATTCCAAATGCTTGGCAACTCGAAGGTAGTCAATGACATATTTCGTTTGATCTACAAACTTCTTATATATCTTTAATGCTCTTTCAGCGTCCACTTTAGACATTTCAAAATAATGTTCTAATAAGTTGATCACACCTTCGTTCAATTCTTGAAACAACGCCAACAAATCATTCACAAGCAACCTGAAACTGGTCAATATAATGTCATTATTAATTTCGTTCTCCATGAATGAGTTTTTTAACAACGCATCTATCTGCTTTTGAACCAGCTCACACTCTCTGAGCAAACCTCTTTCAATGGATAATGTTCTTAACCTGCCACCATTCCCATTCGAACTCTTGTTGTTGGATCTCTCGTCCCTCACGTAATCAATTCCAGTCTCCAAGAATTGCAGGATCCTAACCTGCAAGTATTTCGAGTACTTGTTTACAAATCTAATATCTGAGGACTGGCCGTAGTTATTCTTATTGGACATTGACAACAGCACAATTGACTTCTCGTGGCCCAAGTATTCCAAGGTCACATCTCTCTCACCCTCTCTGATCATAATGTGGATCACAATTAACAGCTTATACACCACAGACCAAGCTTGGTCTCGTAACCTGGACTCCAAGCTGCGCATTATCACCTTGAAGTTGTCCTCAGCTCCGCTATCGAAGTGAGTGGCCATAAGAATCGGCTCGATATACTTCGGCTTAGGCGCAGCAATCTTCACCTTGGTGGCACCTTTCACAATCTTCTCGTAGGTAGTCATACTGGTTTATGTTGTGTGTGTGTGTTATTGAACAGAGAAAAGAAAAGGAGTTGTAAACCAATGAAAACAAATAATTGAAAAATAACAAAATCACAAAAAGGCTACCGAAAATTCAAAACCCACCCAAGCGCAGTTAGCGAGGAATAGTATGAGGAGATTAGATGGTAGTAGTGAAGGAGCGTTTCGAAAATAGCTGGAATTTCTCGAGAATTTGCGAGCAAAGATACTGGAAACTTCAAAATTGAAATTTCTTGGATGAGATGGGAAATGAATCGCCTAGCTATCCCTGGTGTGTACCAGATCGGGTGCTTAGCTTACTTGAGTTTTAGGGGTAAATTGTGAGCAGGCGCACAGACTTTCGTTTTTCACACATATGTCGCGGTAGTAGCGGCGGCGGTTATTATTAGAATTGCGCCTACAGATATGAAAATGCAAGCCTGAATTGCGCCTAGAAACGGGCGCACTGGCATGAGCGCAGTGGCATGAATTGCGCCTGGGAAATGAGAGTACACTGCACAGGAATCGATCTGGCTGTGATACAAGTGCTCGCTGTGTCGCATAAGGCTACTGGCCCACTGTCTCATCCTTAGATAATATTCATTACTTATTATATACATGTTCTAATAATTACTATGCGCTCTCTTTTCTCATTAATGTCACTAACAATTTTGTAGCGGCTCTGCCTCTTTGCTTGGATGCGAAAAATGATTCGCATCAGCACTTAGTTTCAGTTATGGGTCACCCATTACTCTTACACTACACTCTGGTCGATGATGATGATGAGTCTCCTATTTCTTCTTCATTCCTCCTCTCTTCTCCAAGAAATCCTTGGCCTCGTTCACCTTGGTGGCCACAAAACTGGATCCTCCCTTGTCCGGATGGTTAGCCATCATCAATTTTCTGTGCTGCTCCTTCAACTTGGCAACTGACAAATTCGTTTCTTTTAAGTTTAAAATCTGCAACGCTTCTCTAGCAGTCATCTTCTGGCCAAACCCACCTTTGATAAACGCTTTACCGTTCAATCCTGGTTGCTTTGACTTTACAAATCCAGCTGCAAAATATGCTAATCCTAATGCTCCAAACCCCGTGATAACTGGGTGATTTCCCATCCATTCAAAACCTTGGTCAAAATACCATTCAGCGGACCCTTCTGGTGCCTTCTTACGTTGAAGTTGGCCAAAACTTTGGACCTGCTGTTGTTGCTGTAAGTACTGCTGCTGTTGAGCATCTTTGAGCTGCTGGAGCTGCTCGGGCGTGTACTGTTGAGAACTGGAAGATTCTCCCGGAATGGCTAGCGTAGGTACTTCCATAGTGCTTAGCAGTGACGGTTATGTGAAGAGAACTCCAAATCGTAGTGGTCAAATTGAAGATTGAAAAATTTGGTGACAAAAAAAAAAAAAAGAAAAAAAAGAAAGAGAGGAGAATATATGGAGGCACGTGACCTTCAGCCATGTATAGTGGAAGGCAAAAGGAAAGCAAAAGAAAGGGAGAAATGGAAGTGGCGAATGCCTGTACGGGAGAAAGCCGCAAAAGAGAAGCAGCAGATACCCCTACCACTACATGGCGCTAGCACCAGTCGTTCTGCAATCTTGGTAAATCAAGTCCAGCACCTAAAGCATATGTGATGTGACATCTTACATGCAGTACACCACGCTAGGTGAAGCAGATTAGTACGTAGATAATCTTGCACTATATGCAGGTCTCGAACATCACCCACCGGAACCCCTACGTAAAACAGCACAATTGCACTGTAGGGTACGAGTAGCGGTCTCCCTCTCATGTAACTTTCACAAGAAAGCCTTTAGTACAAATCCCATTGCCATATCTCTTCTGCAGCTGTCTAATCAACGACCTCTTCCAGCCAGTTCAACGCCGGGTAACACAACTTACATGCAGGATCCAATGATCATCTCACAAACTTTTTTTTTTTTTTTTATCAGAAAACCAAAATTTCACGCTAAGGTCATCTCATCTCGTTCTTCTAGAGAGTTTAAAACCATATAATAAGATAACTATTCGACTTCAGAGAGTTGTTGTTGGAGGTTATTAATTCTTGCATATTCTACCATATATTAACATCATTTTTCCCATCACATTTTTCAGCATTTATACAATTTTTTTAGTATCCATTTAAATTTGATCATTTTCCAGTTATGAGAGTCTACACATGCCATTTTTGCTCGTCGCCAGTTTACCCCTTACACGGGATTATGTTTGTTAGAAACGATGCCAAGGAGTTCAGATTCTGTCGTTCAAAGTGCCACAAGGCTTTCAAGCAACGTCGTAACCCACGTAAATTGAAATGGACCAAGGCCTTTAGAAAGGCTGCTGGTAAGGAATTGGTTGTTGATTCCACCTTGACCTTTGCTGCTAGAAGAAACGTTCCGGTTAGATATAATAGAGATCTTGTTGCCACTACGTTGAAGGCAATGTCCAGAGTTGAAGAGATCAGACAGAGAAGAGAAAGAGCCTTCTACAAGAACAGAATGAGAGGCAACAAGGACAAGCAAATCATTGCTGACAAGAAGTTGGTTGCAGAGAATGAAGTTCTTTTGAAGATGAGAGAAGTCGAATTGAGAAGAAAGGCCGAAAGATTGGCTGCTAAGGAAAGCGCCATGGACTTGGAAGATGACGAAGACATGCTCAGCGAAGAAGAAGATATAGAAAGTGACATGGAAGCCGAGTCTGATTCTGAAGTAGAATCCACCAAGCAAAAGGTTTTGTTAAAGAACAAACCAAAGAAGAAGAAGGTTGTTGTGTAAAGCAATCGAGTAGTGTGAAGAAGCGGGAGCAAGTGTTAGAGTTGCTCAAAGTCGTAATTAGGGATAAAAGTAAGAATAAATACAGTAAAACAACCGAAGTGGGACACTAGACTATTCATTAGTGTGATCTAAGTGTGGTTTAGGTGATTTATGTAGTTAAGTAACTTCATTGTAGTTTATGTAGGGAGGCTATACTACTGGGAAAGAAGATAGCTTGCAGATCAACTGCAGAGTATCTATTCGTGGTATCTCGGAGTAACATGCGTCCAGTCGTACGATGTTCAAACAGCCGAAGGGGGACACTAGACTATTCATTAGTGTTATCCAAGTGTGGTGATTTATGTAATTAAGCACCTTCGTTGTAGTTTATGTAGGGCCCATGCTATACTGGAGAGGAAGATTGCTCGCAGATCAACTGCAGAGTATCTATTCGAGGTATCTTGGAGTAACATCTGAATAGTCGTACGATGCTCTTTAGGAGACGACCTTTGGTTTTGGCTTTCTTCCTGTGGGTACTGGCTACCAGATTCTGCTTGATTTCCTATCTAGATACTGATTGGATGGTGCTGTCCTAAGAGAGACGTTCTGTAGGAACGCTTCAGCCTAGCAGTACGGTCTCTCTGTAAGTACTGGTTCCTGAGTAGGTACTAGGTCCTCGGAACTCTTCAGCCTAGCAGTACGGTCATTACCCGTAAGTACTGGTTCCTACGTGGATTAACTGCTCTGCAATAAGAAGTCCCTCGGAACTCTTCAGCCTAGCAGTACGGTCTCTCTGTAAGTACTGGTTCCTAAGTAGGTACTAGGTCCTCGGAACCCTTCAGCCTAGCAGTACGGTCTCTCTGTAAGTACTGGTTCCTAAGTAGGTACTAGGTCCTCGGAACTCTTCAGCCTACCAGTACGGTCATTACCCGTAAGTACTGGTTCCTATGTAGATTCACTACTCTGCAATAAGAAGTCCCTCGGAACTCTTCAGCCTACCAGTACGGTCTTTGCCTGTACGTGCTACCAACCAGTTCGTCTCCATGTTCGGGCTCTGTTCCAGTCTCTGTTCCAGTCTCTGTTCCTACGCCCTCTTGGCCCTGGTTTTCTCTCAGCGCATTCATCATCAAGTCGACCGTCTTGGTGTGGACTTCGGAGAATATCCTCTGCTTCTGCACGCGTTTGGAGTCTCTGTGTCGTATGGGTTCTTCGTCACCACTCCCCCGCTTACGAGTTGCCAGGGATGTAACCGGCGACAGCAGCTGAAAGGAGACCGGCGACGACACCGGCGAAGAGGTCTGGTAGGTATGGTTCGACAGCATGGAGCTCGTGGAGAGAGAACTCGCAGGATAGGATGGAGATGAAGTGTACATTGGCGCTCAGACGCGTGAATAGAACTGCTGACTTGAAACTATGTGTTAACTATACCGTAGTTGTCCGAATTTTCTGAATTTTTCTCTTTTTCTTCAGCAGCTTGTCAGCTCCTCCGTCCTCTTGCTATAGCAGTGCTCCAATTACTGCGTAAAAGTACCCAATTTCTCTGCGGGTTGCTACTCTACTGCCACTCTTAAGCACGCCAACCTTCGCTTTGGAATTTTCATTTTCAGCTCGCCTGCGAATTTTTCAGTCCCCCCCGCGAGAAGAGCTGCCCCCCATCGAAGTGTACGGTTAGCGAGTTTCTCTTGGGGATAGTTCACAAATAGATAGCTTCGTGGGTCACAATGGCCAAGATAGTAGGTAAACACATCAAGCACAGCGCCAACACCGAAATCGTGCTGAAAATCGAAAGGGAAACCACCTTTCTAGTGAAGTCTTCCACTCCGTTCATCTCAGCGTTGAAGAGGATCATCAAAATCTTGGACAAGTTTGACAAGGCAAGCAAGTCCAACCGCAGATTCAAGAGTGGAGCCTACAACAATGTCAAGTATGTGAAGATCAAAGGAATGGGGAGAGCCATAGAGAAAACTCTTTCGTTAGGGTTGAAATTCCAGAATGAGTTGATGTACAAGACCGATGTGCTTACTGGCAGTGTGGAAGTGGTGGACGAGTTCAAGGTGGGAGGAGCAGAAATCGAAGAAAATAAGGAAAGGAAGGACGAAGAGGAGGATGAGCTCGACGATGAAGACAAGGAGTCGGTGTTCAAGAAGAGAATGGCGAGCTTTGTGGAGATTAGGGTGTGGATCAAGAGAGATTAAGAATGAAGAGCGAAAGATAAAGAGCGAACGATGAAGACGTGAAGTTCTGGAATGGGATGCAGTGGACTCAAGTCACCGCTCTACGATGAAGAGGTCAGGTTACTATTCTAAGATGACTTCCCTACTTACACGGCTGCTGCAACCTTGCAAATGATCCGAGATATGAATAATGAATAATGTGTATAAGTATATATGATGCTCCATCAACGAGGATGGGGGCTGGTGACGAAATGAAAAATGCTAGTAAGTTTTGGAACAATGGCAAGGAAAGGGCCAACCATATCATTCAGGACCCCATTCAGGACCCCATTCAGGATCTCATTCAGGATCTCATTCAGGACCTCACTCAGGACCTCACTCAGGACCTCACTCAGGACCTCATTCTGGACCCCATTCCCCTCATTCCAGTGCTTCAGCTTCGGCTAGCCTCTTGAGGCACTTTTCCTTGATTTGCAACAACTCCAAGATGTGCTTTTCTATCTTTGCACTCTTCTTAGTGACGATGCCTGCTGACTGGTACTCATGCTCCAAGTGCTCGGTTGTTTCCTCATCGCTCACATCGAACAACACTTCAGCCCTGTGGATAAGTTCAAGACATCGCAAGTAGTTTCGGCTATAGTATTCCCTTTCTACAGCATGGAGCATGATAACGCGGTCGGCCTTTTGCTTTTCATTCAACTCTTTCTGTGAGTTTTCAGTGGTTGCATCGTAGAGCCAGTCCTCGCTATTGATGAACGGACCGTCTTTGAAAAACTGCGTTTTCTGCGCTAGAAACTCTTCGTCTGTTTGTCCTTTTCTGACTTTCTTGGACTTCTTAGGAGCAGTACAGCTGCCGCTATTGGCAGTATTCGGACCAGGCGAACTCATTTAGCTGTGGATCAACTGGTGAAGGCAGCGATGACCGTTGCTTGATCTTTTTTAATGCTGGAGCGATGGAGACTGCATATAGAACTTTTCAGTTCCTGCACCTCGGCCCCTCCAACAGAGCTGGAAGAGTACCCCAAGGGCCACCATGGCTGCAATTCTGGAGCAGGGCCAGCGTATTGAGCTAGATCGAAGGGATCGGGCATTGACAGAAAGTCGCTAGGTGAGCGAAAGGGGGCTATTTAGTATTAATATCACGAAATTTTCGAGAGTGTGCACAGTGTGTACTTATTTTAGGCTACTGTAGGGAACAGTTGAATGTTATATGTCTAGCAGCACCGGTTACATACCCGCCTTCTCTCGTAGAAGAATAAAGTAAGCCGCCTCTTCTCAACGCGCATTCCATTGAGCGACTCCTCGTGCTTTAGACACGCTAAGACCATCTCAATGAGCCGGACTTTATTTAGCTAGGAATGCCTTGGTTTCTAACTAGCCGAGAGCCGCAGTGGTTTCGTATTCTCAGCGCACCGATCCACTGTAGCCCACTGGCTCTTTCCGGTACTCTGCCTCACCACAGTCCCACTGCTCCTATTCTTCATACCACAAACACTCTCACCAAGCTAGAAACCGCCGTCCAATAGAGCCACCGTTCAATAGAGCCCAGCCGATCTTGCTTTCCTCTTCCTCTTCTCCTTCCTCTTCCCACTTCTACCTTCCCTAAACATTGCAACATCTCACTGGCATGCGCAGCGCGCGCGCATTTCCGGCCCCACTCGCCATATCAAATCTGCAGTTTAGGCTGGAGCAGCTCCAAGCTATCAGTTTTACTTCGCTCTAATCTAAATATCGTCAGCATATCGTTGCATGCATAACGGCATAAATATAAATACATTTCTGTATACAATTGCAAATCCTACATAAAAACAAAATAGATTCTATACAGCATTCTCAGGGATTACTAATTGGTACATAATATAGTTCTCCTGCTCCACATTGCCTCTGAATCATAATGGTGAATTTCACGGGACACACGAAGAAGCGAGTGGTTAATTTAGGCGGCCCTGGTAGAAGTCTAGGGGGTGGCGGTAGACAGAAACCCTTATCAGCTACTGGAAATGGGTCTAGCACGAGCTACCTTGAGATAGCACGAGCACAAAGGATCGAAAGAGAGGAACAAAGAGCTAGAGAGAGAGCCATACTCGTGATACAGTCCTATACAAAGCGATATCTTGAAATGCTTCACCTCTGGGATATAATATATCAAGACTGGAAAAGTAATCCTGTAGCAGACGATCGCTGGGTGGGCCAATTCAAATTCCTCTGTAAGTGGAAAAGATTGAGCCCCCAAGAGCTTGAAGAGCTCCTCTTGGTCTTATTGCATCAAATGCGTGATAATGACGGCATTAATAAGTTTTCAGCATATTCCGTTCAAGCTTTGTTTAGTACCATTGAGAAAATGTTGAAAATGTACCCCTATACCATTGAATCGGGTGCTGCAGAGGTGCTAGAGTGTATGGTTGGCTCAAACGCCCAATTGAAGTATGATGGAATCTTGAAGGCAATCCATACGAGATTAGTATCTGAAACAACTCTGCAAACTTCCCAAATCCTTATAAAAGTTGCCCTTTTCATTAATGTCCAAGATTCTTATAATAGTTACTTAGAATTGTTAGCCATTCCGAAGGTTCTAGTAAATACGCCCCAAAATGAACTCGACAGTTATGTTTTCCCAGTTTTGATGACTTCCTCAGCACAAGGATCGATGAGATTAAACATGTCGATTGAGAGATTAACAAATCAGGAAAAGGTACAGTTACTATCGAACATAGTTGGATGCTTTAAAGTATTTTCACTATCTGATTATTTAATCATAGGTACAGTTCTCTCCCACATATCATTCATCATAGCCACCAAGAGTGGTGAATCTTCTGTTGGCAATGAAAATTCGCTACCAGTTAGCAAATCTACTGTTTTCGTGTCACCATCAGTAATATCCAGCTTGGAGGTTTTATACTCTTCGAATTTTATTAGGCAAGCCTTTGGATACCTCAGTGACGCAGTATCAGATGATTCGAGTAACAGTGTAATCTTCGAAGTGATATCGTCCTTGTTGTATTTTATTCCAACGTATAAAGCTAGGCTTTGTATGCTTATTACGATAACTCCCGGTTCATATGGATGGTTGTTTAATAGAATAAAAGATAACAGTACATATCAAGAATTCATAAGCAACAATGATAATAAAGACTACATGAATAATATGCTAGTTGAAGAAAAGGATGATTTCTGGAAAATTGTTTATACATTTGAAGAGTTATACTCGTATTGGCTCATTGTATCAAATGACTTAGAGAGCTTCAATGAAGATAAGTTGAGCATTGAAGATGTATCTGAATTTATGGTTTTTTTAAAAAGTTTGTGTCTAACATTAATATTGGATGATGGAGCAAGAAAGGAAAAGTTTAGAAAGTTAAAAGACATTTCTATATCATTGTTAAATCAATTGTATTTAAAAAATTTGAGATTGCGGTTTGTTAGTGAAGATTTCTGGCAGTTGAAAGAACCCATAAATATCGATCACTTATTGTTGAGACTCAAAACGAAAAGGGAGAATAGACGAGGGAGAGAAAGAGCTGATGCAATTGATGATCTCATGGAAGTCGATGAGTACGAGGAGGAAGAAGACGAAGAAGAAGAGGAAGAAGAAGATGATGATGAAGAATCAGAAGAAGAGGTGGGTGACGTTGAAGGCGGAGAATATATTGTTGAAGGAGACCAACCGATTGGAGTTCCTAAGTTTTCAAGCTTGGAGAAAAGATCTGAAGTGGTCACACACTCAAAATTAGAAATCTTGGAGAAGGTTCCATTTTTTATTCCATTCAAAGATAGAGTGCTCATATTTCAAGCCCTCGTTCTCTCACAGAAGGAGAAGTGGGATGCACCACTTTACAGCTTCAATGCAGCGCCAAGAAGATTGGTTGGATCTATTAGGAGAGAATTTTTAGTTGAAGATGCGTTCAAGGAATTTCATAATGTTGGCAGTAATTTAAAATACCCGTTGAGTGTGACCTTTATCAATGAATACGGTCCAGAAGCGGGCATAGGAGAGGGAATAACCAAAGAATTTTTGACAAGCGTCGTCACTGAAGGTTTTAAACCTAATGGAGTATTTCAGCTTTTTAAAGAAACTTCGTTAAATCAATTATATCCAAACGAAGAAGTCTCACTTAGTTTACATGAGAAACATAACGTCAAATATCAACAAGAACGACTTTTATATTTCAAATTTTTGGGCTCTATCATTGGGAAATGTTTCTATGAGAGTATTTTAATTGACATTTCGTTTGCACCCTTTTTCCTTACCAAGTGGTGCAATGCTAATAGGGGAAATACTAGTTTGAAGAATTCAATCAACGATTTGAATTATTTAGACAAAGATCTCTTTCAGAATCTAATGAAGTTGACAACAATGACAGATAACGAGTTACGGGAACTCGATTTAACTTTTACCATCAATGAAAGAATTGAAGATAAGTCTTACACTTTCAATTTAATGCCAGATGGAGAACATGTATCGGTGAATTCTTCCAATCGTTTGAGTTATATTCATCAGGTGTCTAATTTTAAATTGAATAGCTCGTTGCATATTCAAACTAAGTATTTCTTAGATGGGCTCTTCGAAATAATTCCTTCAAAGTGGTTGAGGATGTTCGATGCATTTGAATTGCAAATGCTAGTTCTGGGAGGAGATAACGACGTGAATGTTCAAGACTGGAAAGAAAATGTACAATATGGTGGGTATTTCGATGATGACTTAACCATTAAATACTTTTGGGAGGTTGTCAATGAAATGACTTCTGGGGAAAGGTTCAAATTGATTAAGTTTGTTACTTCAGTTAGTAGAGTACCATTGCTAGGATTCGGAGCATTGAATCCGAAATTTGGGATCAGGAATTCGGGAAGAAGTATTGGAAGATTGCCAACGGCTTCTACTTGTGTAAACTTGCTAAAACTACCTGATTATCAGGACAAGGCTTTAATCAAGGAAAAGTTGTTGTATGCCATTAACACAGAAGCCAAGTTCGATCTAAGCTAAAATATGTACACTGCCTCAAGCGTTATAGTGTATAAATCGTCGAAATAGCTTTTATTAACATGTATATAAATAGAATGAAGCGACCCAATACTCAATGCCTCTCGTAGAATAATACCTCTCGGTACATCCATACATTACGTAACCTCTCGCTAAATCCATACATAATTAACACCGTCCACCGAATCTTCCACATTAATCCTCCCAGTTTAAGCACCTTGCTGCACGAGAAGAATATTATCAAGAAAAATAATTCCAGAAGCTGCAACTTTGGGCGTGCGTGTCCCTGTGCTACTGCACGGCTGCATTTAAGTACATTCTACACGTCTTTCTGAAAAGTGGAGGAAAGGCAAAAAGAAAACACCAGCTGTGATATAGAAGAGCTTGACTAAGGCAAAAGATGATCGGGAGGAGTTTGATTCGCCTGTGTAGGCCAAGTTTTGGGAATTTGGTTCGAACCAGAGGCTTCCATGTTAGTCGCACTTTGAGAATAGTGAATCCAATGCTCCCGTTTGACTTGTTGGAAGATCTCGAAAACGATGACCTTGAGGAAGCGAACGATAAATTGAAGAAGGAGAAGAAGAAATTGATAAGACAAAAAAAGAAGATTGCAAAGAGGGTCGAAAAGGATAGTGAGAATGGGGAAGAGGGCGGTTCTTCCGAGAAAACTGCTGAACAATTGAACGATGATGAGTTCAAGACCAAGAACGATACTATACCGTTAAAGAAGGCATTGACTACCGAAGTTAAGAGCTTAGATGTAAAGAAAGACGCTGACGCAAATAAAGGACCTAGTAGTGACAAGGCAAATAAAAGCGATCAAGATAACTCTCCCTCGGAAGGTAGCACACCATCGGAGAGCTCAAAATCCAATGCTAGTACTGCTCAATCCAATGAAAACGGTGCTGTTATGGGCGGAGCTGGAGGTGGGAACGGAGGTTCTCCTCCTGACAAGCCGGACAATGATGATTCAGTTGATAAAAACGATGAAAAAGAAGCGGAGAAAAAGAAGGAAAATGATGAAGTAGAGAAGGAAGTTGAAGAGGAGGTGGAGGAAGAAGAAGAGGAAGAAGAACCAGAACCAAGTAAACTAAAAGAGACTTTCGATAAATTTGTAAGATTTCTCTTCAAATGTCTCGAGACAATCGGAATTACTTTCTCCTCCGTTGCTATGTTAGGTGTTGCTGGGATTTTGTATCATAAGTATTATGGCAAGCATGTGCTAGAGAAGATAGATCGTGCATTCGACACAGGAGATCCAGCCTACCAATTATCCGTTCACAAAAGAACCAATAAACATAGTGATGAAGTCGCCGATGGCCACGAGGACTGCGACTTATCCAAATTTTGGGCCCAGAGACCACAGCAGTCACTCTTAGACGATATTATTCTGGGTAAAATCGTAGGACGATATTTCTTGGTAATTGGTGAAAAGGGTACAGGTAAGACTTCACTTTTGTTAGAAGCTATGAAAAAAGTAGATGGGCACAATGTAGCAATCTTTGATGCACATGCTGATCCCGAAATTTTCAGATTGAGGTTAGGAAAGGCTCTCAACTACGCTTACAATGAAGATTACATTGGGTCTTTGTTCAGTATTAGGGGCCCCCGTGATACTACTGCCCTCTTGGATATTGAGAGAGCATTTGGCAAATTGGAAGAATTAGCTTTGAAAAGAATCTCTAAAACAAAGGGTAGACCATTGGTTTTGATCATAAACAACGCACATTTAATCAAAGACAACGAAGATGGAGTGAAGTTAATTGAATTATTACAACAAAAGGCTGAGAGTTTAAGTGGGTCAGGATTGGCGACCATAATTTTCAATTCTGACGACTACTGGGTATATGAAAAGTTGAAAAAACTAGGAACTAGAATTGAAGTTGTCAATGTTAGAGATTTTGGAAGGAAAGAAGCAGTTTTAGCATTGAAATTCACAAGAGAAAAGAATTTCCCTAGTTATAAATACCCCGACTACACACTTAATGATTCCGTTTGCAATCAGATTTATGATTTAATTGGTGGTAGGCCACAGCATATTGCCCAAGTGGCTCGTCATAGAGATATCTTCAAAGCTTGCCATGAAATAATTGATAGGGAGAAGACATGGTTCTTGAATCAATGTGGGTTACTAGGCTTGGAAATGGACGACGATGTAATGGAAAGTGGGAAGTTTTCTACACTGGCAATGCTTTTGATGAAAGAATTTGTAGATATGGATCGTGGAAGGTTCAACACTTTAATATCTCAGGATCATCCTGACAAGAAAGATGAGTTGAAAGATCACCATTTACCAGAATTGCCTCTCTGGAGATCTAGACAGATCATGACAAGAGCTGATTACATTCAGCAGTATGATAATTTGAACATATTCACCATTGATAGTGAATCGAGAGTCAGGGCTGATAGCGTTCCGATGATGAGAGCCTTCCATGAAATTGCATCTCAGCCACATTTCGATGAATTGTTGGAGGACACCATTGAAAGAGTTGCTCAAATAGAATCCTTGGGAAGAACCAGAGAACTAATGATGAAGGATCTAATGAATGGTGGCAGATACCAGATAAAGAAGCATAAAGACGACCATAAATTTTCGTTCATCTTAGACAACAAGAAAAAAGTGGAAGTATCTGGCAATGAAAGCGAGAATACTGAGGGTGGTGAAGACGAAAACGACAACGACGATGATGACTTGTATATGGAAGACATCGAAAAGGCAGCCCACAAAAAATGGTGGAAAAAACGAATGCAGAGCTTTGATCAATCGTATTCACCACCTAAGACTACTGAATTTGACCTTGACATTAACAGGAGATAGCATAGCAGGCCCCACCAAGGAGAAGTCAAGGCAATTGACGTTAGCGAGAGCAGGAGCATGCGCCCAAATAGATAGACGAGATGCTGCCGGTGGATATCAATTGACATTAACAGATGGTAGCATAGCAACCCATCCTAATGAGTAGTCAAGGCAATTGACGCTAACGAGAGGAGGAGCATGTGTGTCCAAAATAGTACATAGACGAGTTGCTGCTGCTGAATAAGAACTTGACATTAACGAGAAGATGTACAGTTACCCAAACAGTAGATAGACGAGTTGCTGCTGCAACCATAGTTTTGTATTAGAATGAAAGAAAGTTTAATTCACGATGTAGGCTATAGGACAAATTCTCCATCAAGCGTAGAAAAACTGAAAATTCATAGAAGATGTACATCGAACTGTATCAAAGGCTCAAGTACGTTAGACTTTCGTTTATGCACGATCCAGTCTATTGTCCACTAGCACTTCTAGAATAATACAGAGCTCGAGAACCGGGCTTTATAATCAAGTTTGAGCTTTTTCAGAGCTTGCCGCGGTACACCTGAAAAAATGCCGTATGTTTCGTAGTTGATAAACTTCAACAAAAAATAATTCGGTGCAATCGCTTTTAGCTAAAATGAGGTGCATGAAAAGACCAGAAAAATGTGTTACCTGAAGGCTTGAAACATTCTACAGACATACTTGACGTTGTGATCTGCTTGCTGATGCAGATTATTTCGATGAGAATGTCGAGTAAAAGTGGGATGCTGAAAAGAAAATGGGAATGATACACTGGCTCATTTAGAGATTGCCATGTGCTAATTGATTGGAATAGTTGGAAATATAGCCGTCGTGCGATCTTCGATTACATGCTTCGCAGTAGTAACAAAGAAGAAGAAAAAGTATTATCATCCACGATAACCTTGTCCACCTCCACTCAAAAATGATAGCAGTCGGCGCTTCATTGCAACCCACCCTACCTAGTTCCAAGACAAATAGGAAAACTTTGAGCCCAAATCATCAAAGAAAATATGAAAACAAACAAAATAAAAAAAAAAAAAAGTATATGAATTGGGAATTGCTCATTATGCATAATGTGTTGCATGTATGCGCAAGCAGAATTCAGCATTTGTATGTAGTTGAAAAAAAGAAAAATAATAATAATCAATTTTAAATAGTAAACATAAATGAACATCAATGAGTACAAATAGGGCATTGCTCAGCTAAATTAAGAAGCTTCGTTATGATTTACAAAAGTGCCACATTGGAGCTGAAGCTAATAGCTGAGATGCACCTCCTATTTTCCTTTGTGCTTCTCTACGCCCCAAGTATCAAGATGGGTTCGCCCTATCATCTCAACGGTAAATTACGAGTAGTTATGAGCCTTAGAAAATAGTGGAGTCTCATTTAGGAGCAGAAAAAGTAAATTTCAAAAATGTTTACTCGAAACAAAACCTTATTCCTAAGAGGCTATACAAGCAGCATCTTAAGAAAAAACATGTTTCAACAACGTAAAAGTGGACTAAAAAAGGGCCTCGAATCTAAAAACCTAGTCTGGCAAGCGAACTTCTGTGCATGGCGTTTCAGAATAGCACATTTTCAGAAACAAACACACTAGATATCGACCTCATAAATTCTCCCGTGCTTCGGTCCCCCGCTATCACGCATGTACCGATTGCCAAACCTTAAAGTCTGTTCTCTAATGGAAGATTGCGGAGGAACTTAATAAGGAAACGGCGAAATCGCGCTTATACTTGCTCTACAAAGAGGTGATGAATTACGTCTAGGTCGATGGAAAATGCCTGCCTATTGTTTGGAAATGTCTATGAATGAACGTTGAACATTAAACGAAAGAAAAGAACTTTGGTTTTCGGTTCGACTACACTACACTGCCCTTCACCTCAACACCACATCATCTCATCAGCTGACTTCAAGGCAAATCCTAAAGACGTCATAAGTACTGCCTGAAGTACCTCTGGCTAAGGCACAGCTAAAAAATACCAGATATGGCCAACATCGCCTTCGTAATGGCTTCCATTCTCTGTCTGACTTAACAATCGACCTCACATGGACTTCGTTTTCTCTTTCCCCTTTTCATCTGATGTCATTCCCACATTTCTAGATCTACCGTTCCTGCCTATCACTAAAATGTGTGTATTGTCCTATTGTATTTTTTTTTTTTTTTTTTCTAGTTTAACTAGGTACCTTTCGGCATAGCCATCAATTATTTTCTTTGAATGTACGGATAAATCTGCATGATGCACTAAAGAATGGAGAGAGAAAAAGAAAAAAAAACACAAACAACCTGGTACCTTGCTTCGCATGTAATAAATAAGTGTACGTGCAGCAGGCATTGAACAATACAATTGCCCCTTATATTGGAGTTTTTTTTATTTTCACATTATCTCTTTAACCCTTTGACTTCTCCTCCGATTGGAGGGGGCTTTGGCGGAGTTTACTTTAAACCGTGTTGACGTTTTTGTCACTGCCAAACAAGCAAAAAAAAAGGAAAAAATAATCCCGCTGGTAAATCTACCATCGCTCATCCTGCTTTGAAAACCAGCTGGTTGCTCATTCGAATTTTTCAGTATCAGTGTCGTATTTAGTTCCTCTGCGTCTTAGACAAAATTAATTTTGTCTTGATTTTGCTTTTCATCCAAAATAATTTTTTTCCTCTCTCGTTTTTTTGAGGAAGTAAGAGATCTGAGCTTTTGACGTCATCAAGAACAGAAATAAGATTCAAACCAGGTAATAGTTATCATATTTTGTAGCATCTTTAAATTTTAGCCTAATTTGAAGCTGGAGGTGGTTCTAAAGTTCTTAATTAAGCAATTGAATTGGAAAAACGATGATGCAGAATAATGCACAAAATTGTCCAAAAAGAAAGACAAAAAAAAAAATTAAAAAAAAAAACAACAAAAAAAAAAAATCTGTGTACCAAAATAAGAGCACTATGCATTTACGTTTCATTGACCAACATGACTGTCACTCTATTCTTTATTTTCCAATGTATTAGTTATTGTAGAATATTCAGACTATTTTCTCTTCTGCCCCCAAGCTGCCCGCCCCTGGTGTTTGACTACACTGCATTCTAGTAGCCACCCTCCCCCCGTATCTAATTGCCCTCCAGCAATTATTTTTTATCAGGTTTCCAATTGTTTTTTGGAATTGTAGGAGTCCATTTTAAATTACGAGAGAAGATTATTTTGGCTCGTTTTTTTTTTTTATGTCAGTCAAACTAAAATTATTTTTTATGTCCTAGCAAGTGCTCAAGTAACACAATGTTTGCCAGGGGAAGCAGAGACCCATTCCAAGCGGGTAGCGCAATAGCCAACGACAAACCACTCAAAGACTTACTCAAGGTCGCTACCATCACACAGAGCAGCCGCTACCACTCCAACGTTCTAGAAATTTCCTCGTATGATGAATTTCATCTTAGCGTTGCGTTCATGTTTTCTAATACTATAATTATTTTTTGTGATCGAATTTCCCTAATGAATTTCATGGTCCAAGCATTTTCATTTTTTTTTTTTTGAATTATTTTATTATTATTTTTTTTTTTTTTTTGGTATTTTTTTTTTTTCCTTTTTGCTCACCCACTGTCTCTCTTACTCTGGCCTTCCTGCTCTTAGTAAATTCCTTTCTTTTGATTCCTTCCGTTTGCAGTCGTTTGGATCTAGAGTGATTTCCAGTTCTTAAGGTAGTAGTAAAAAAACTGATTTGTTATAATTTTTTTTTTGTATTGGTCTTTTCTTGTCAACAACCAGACTGTTATTTAGAGAAGAACAGCGTAGACTATAGATATACGAGCACTTGACAAGTTGATACAGAGGCCCACGTCATTACGCCAAATCAGCATCTTCACAAACATCAACAAAAGCAAACGTAAAAGCAAAACAGAAACAAAACAAACATAAACAAAAGAAAACACATTCTAAAACTCAATCCACATGTCAGCCAACTCCTCCAACCACTCCAGCTTGGACACTTCGCCTGTCCTGCCCAACCCGAGCGGAGAAACATCGGCGTCTGAGTCGTCCATACAGAAGAAGAAGAAGAACTCCAGGAGGAAGCATAGAAACTCACATTTGGGCTGTGGTACTTGTAAGAAAAGAAGGATCAAGTGTGATGAAAACTTGCCGAGCTGTTTGAACTGCTTGAAGGGAAAATTGCATTGTGCATACTTGAACTTGGATATGCCAGCGAGATCGGCCTTACGAATGGCCCAGTTCAATCAGAACCTCAGGCAAGACCGACAACAGGACCATCCCGAGATGGTAGATGGGATACCACAGGGCCCGGCCCAGGTGCACCAGCTGCAAGCCGTCGCTGTCCAACAGCAGGTACAGGCACAACAACAGCAGCAGGCCGTGCAACACCACCAGATGCTCCAGCAAGCTCAGGTACAGGCGCAAGTCCAGGCGCAAGTGCAAGCACAAGTCCAGGCACAAGTCCAAGCCCAACAGCAAGCTGCTGCTGCCGCTGCTGCCCAAGGCGGCCAGCCTCAACCGGATGGGTCAGTCAAGCTCGTGCAGCATCCTTACTCTAATAACGGGTCGACGGCAGCGTTTGCTGTTCCCTACCCAATCATCCAAACCGCATCTCCTCTCAACATGCACGGGTCTGCTCAACAGGCACACGTTATCCAGTCACCGTATGGACCTTTGGTTTCTCTCCAGCCTGTGAGCGTAGCGATTCCCACGTACTCTGGGCAGGCATCGATGCCACAGATCATGTACCCGCAGCACGGAGTGGTCAATGTTTCGCCAATGCCCCAGCAAATAATGCAGCAACAGCAACAACAGCAACAACAGCAACACCACCAAGCACAGGCACAGGCACAGGCCCAGGCACAGGCGCAAGCGCAAGCACAGGCTCAAGCACAGGCACAGGCCCAGCACCAAGCCCAAGTCCAAGCAGCTCATCAGCAACAGGTGTCTGGCCCATTACCGCCCATAATACAATCAGCGAGCAACACTCCTCAGCAAATTGGCCTGATACCCCAGCCAGCCCAGTTCACACAGCATGTTGCCCCAGTTTTGTCCAAGCCTGCTGATACCGGTCCTTCCCATATCATGGAGAGCCAGTTCAGTAAAAGTCCACAAGTGACTAGCACTTCGATTTCTAAACTGGGCAGTTCCTCATCGTTGGCTCGAACAGCGAGTTATGCTCAATTACCAGGAATTAAGCCCAGCTCTGGTCAAACGAGTGGAGATACCACTGAAGGCAACAAACAGGAAGACGGCGGCAAGTCAGAAGGTAGCAACAAAGCAGCCGATGAAAACCAAAGCAGCACCAATTCACCAGTGTTACCCCCAATTAAAATAGAAGCGAACATATTGAGTAAATATGACTTTGCGTCGTCAAACGAGAATGAGGATAAAGAAGTCAGGCTTCCTCCCATAAAATCACTTAATGTAAGCGAAATTGACGTTGAACTGAAGATTCCGCAAATCAGTAAGCTACTTTCGTGAAGAGTCATACATAGCATACCTTTGAACAAGTTGAAGAAGTAATCGATCGAGAAGGCGGCGATTGAATTCTTTTCTCTTTCTCAAGTCTAAGAGATACCTGAGAGTGTAGAGATTTTGATATCACGAGTAGCGGCCTTTATGGTATACTGAGCTTACATATACATAATTAGCATCAAAACAAGAAATGTATTATTAGTAGAAACGAGATGACGGAGGAGTAGAGCAGTAGAGAAGTAGGAAGTAGAGCAATACAGCGGTTCAGCGGAAGTGCCATAGTTCCACACAGTAGTGGCATAGCCAGGATCAGAACCAGAGCCAGAGAATCATTTAGACCTGGGGCTAGAGCTCTCTGCACCAAAGACAACAGCTCTGCCGCTGTCCAGTGTCAAGAGCATGTGTGGTCAATTTGCAACCTGCCAGGCACATTTTGGCAGCGAATTTCGTGAAAGCGCGAGTTTTACGAGAAAGCATAATTTACGAAGATTCACTGGAACCTCGAGGAGGAACAGAGTGCCTGGGTTTATTTAGTAGTATAGAAATAGTAATCCAAATAATCACCAAGCAAAAAATAAGCATAAAACACTCCTGCTTTTGGAGCAAAAAAAGCACCTTCCAAAATCTATAGACGTCGCCCTTTCCTCTGCACCTCCAACGCCGACCTGAAACTAGCGTAATGCGTTCCTATGAACCAAATTTTCTGGCTTTTTTTTTTTCTCAAAAAGGACCGCCGTAAATTGTGTATGGAAAAATCTGAAGCGAAAAATACTACGATGAGCATTGGTGGCTATGTAAAAAAAAAGAAACGATACGAATCCGAACAGCGCAACTAGTGCTATGTTGCTGTCACTCACATTCGCCAAAAAAGAATGCCTTCAGCCAGATTCGAACTGACGATCTCCTCATTACTAGTGAGGTGCCTTACCAACTTGGCCATGAAGGCGGTGAAATTCTCCTGGGGGTGAGTCGAACACCCGATCTCAAGATTACTCTGAGTAAAACACATTACAGTCTCGCGCCTTAGCCAGCTTGGCCACCAAGAGGAATTTCTTGGGTGAAAAATTTCCGAAGCTGCTGAGAGTGCTCGAGCTAGCGAGAGCGAGAGCACGAACAACCGACACTGAGACCCCACTGAACGGCCCGTTCTTACAGCAGATGCCTTCCAGCAATAGCCAAAGACAGAGAGCCTTCGATTCTTCCCTTCGCAAGCATGCGAGATTGCCAATGGGCCTGCGATACGAACCTGTTCATACACTGGCATTGTTCTCTCTTCTCAATACTGCCGCCCTGCCTTCACTAATTCATGCGCTAGGCTCGTTTTTTTCATGACAAGGCTGCAACCGCCTAAGCCTGTGATCACGAGAATCTTAATTTAAGCTGATTCCAACATTCCAACAAAAAAACACCCGAAGTATATGAAACTGGTTAACGAAGGAGTGTAGGCCAATCGATTTTATTTGACCTATACTACTTCAGGTCCGCTCTGCCAAAGATTAGGTTACCAAAGTCAGTGAGTTCCTCGCAAATATGTCCGACGACGACTCTTCAGCATTTTCATTCGAAAGCGATTCTAAATTTAGAACATATGATCGCTCTAATCGAAGAATGTCTTCCCTGAACCCAGAGCAACCTCCATATCCTGCTTCTGAACCTTCCTCTCCCGAGTTTACCTTCGTGCCCACCCAGCAGCATGTGCAGCAGCATGGTCAGCAACAAGTTACGAAGCCTACACTCCACCAAGAGTCAGCACCACCATTTGTTGTTCCGCAATTCAATATCCAGAAGGTGCAAACTACAACATTCCCGCCGGTTAAACAAGATGTAGGTTCGTCGCCCCCAAAACATAACCACCAACCGCTTTCTTCGCCCTATTTTTCAAATCAACTCGATAACTCATCCAGGTCGCGCCCGAACTCGCTTTCAAGCAGTTCGTATATGGACCATCGTAGATTGACCACGGCATCTCGAAATTCGGTTTCGTCCACAGGTTCAGCCGTCTCTACTGTCAACACATTGTACTCGGCAGGAGATTTTGAAACTGACATCGAGGTGAACCAAGCAGTTGCATATGTCCAGGACCAAACAAAACCACAAGAAGTACCGTCTTTAGTATCGGTTCCTCCTGCTAGCAATGAAGTAGATGCTCCGCTCCCATCTACAGATGAACGTAAGAGAGAAAGATTGAAACAACTATTCAAATCTTCCAAGGCCAAAGCTTCAGACACGCCTCACGAGAATATAGAGCAGGATTTTTTCAGCAACTGCACCAACACATTGAACGAGAATGTCTACAAAGGATCCACAAAGGGTACATTGAATCTTGACTATGATCGCATTATGGAGACTTATTTATTTGGAGGTACTATTGATAGTATATTCTCACTTGGATCTCTCAGTAAAATCGAAAAGAATAATGTCTTGATGAATTATTTATTGAATAGCCATTTGGAAACTGGAGTAGTGAATTTCTCCATCAATAGAATGCCCTCCCACATTTTCGTTACAGATAATGAAAAATTTCAACTCTTATCATCAGTTTTAACTCAGTTGGACGAGTTCAATGAGATATTGAATCAATACAAGTCACAGCTTGACAAAAATAAGAAATCCACCAAATTTAACTCGAAAGACACATTTAAGAAATTGGAGTATTTTGCTAATTTACAGGGGTTCACTATCCCAATGGCACAGTCTATGTTCGGGATCTGGCTATTGACTTATGCCAAAGGAGGATTAGATTCCACTTATAATGATGTCAGAATCATGAATCAATTCAGAAAGTCTGCAAGAATGTCCTTGATTCTTAGGAAATTGGTAGCGGCAGATTATTTCAATAACGTATTAGAAATAGGTGATGAGCAAGGTAATAACTTTAATAACTTTGAAAAGATTGCAGTGGAGAGATTTTTAAAGAAGGATAACGATTTTGCATTGAGCATGGCCATATTCAGCATAGGTGAATATTATCAATTTGTGCATAGCTATGACACGGCAGTGAACTACTGGGAGTGCAATGGGCACCTAACGAGAGATGTTGAAAGCTGTAATTTAGCCATTTGGGGTCTTAGCGATGGTTTCGGAGGCGGAAATAAGGTCAAGACGTTAGAGAAGTTAGGCCATGGGTCAAAGAGGAATAAATACAACACTAAAAGAAGAATCGCGCACTTAACGAGGATCTTGAGCAAGAACGGAGGAAATGCAGACTTTGGGACATCCTGGGTATGGAAGGAGAAATACGATTGAAGAAAAGATGGGATAAGATTACGGATTGCTGATATAGTAGCATTCTGTATCAGTGAGAATGGAGGCATCGGTACAGGTAAAGATTGTATATCCATTTCTAAAACACTTATGTTAGATAGAACACAACGGATTGTTTAGTGATTTTAATTCATATTGTAGAACTTATGATGTATTTATCGAATACTACAGCAGAACTACCACTTCCAATACTGTCTTAACTAGAGAGAGCCTTAATGTCAGAGCCTTAAGTTTTTCAGCTGTACACTTAGCCACAGTGGAAGGACAATATACTTCCATACAGTAGAATATTAGAATATCCAGTACCTCTTAACCAATTCTTTCGCCTAGTAGTTCCCATGCCAGAAAAGCTGATAAAACTGAAAATATATCGTACTTACCATTCTACACATAGAACACCAGTACACTTCAAGAGCAACCTTGTCCCTCCATATACTATGCAACCATATACTGCATATAAACATACCAGACTCTAATTGCTGAATTTTTTCTATCGATTTTTCAACCTATTCCAGTGGTTCTTTACAGAGATTAGATCATTTTACTTGATAGATTTATATATAACAATGTCTGAAATATTGCCTAAAGAGGTTTTCTACTGTGGTGTATGTACGTTCCCACCAGAATATTGTGAATTTGGACTTTCATTCAAAAGATGTAAGCAATGGCTCCAAGAGAATAATGAAGCTTTGTTCGATCTGATTTATAGCGATGAAGCTTTAGCCAATGCTACCAGCACATTATCTGTTGAAAAGCAGGCAAAGATCTCCAAGGAATTAGAAAAGAAGCAAGCCAAGGAAGAGGCCAAATTAGAGAGAGAATTACAGATGAAATTGGCATCTAAGGTTATCATTAAACGTATTGAAAGAAATAAGAGAAAGCACGTGATCGAAATCTCGGGTTTGGAAGTTTTCAACATTGACATGAAGAAGTTGGCTAAGACCTTCGCCAGTAAATTCGCCACAGGTGCTTCGGTGACCAAGAATGCCGAGAAGAAAGATGAAATCGTGGTGCAAGGTGATGTGAGTGACGAAGCAAAGGCTTATATTGAAAAGTTGCTAGAAGAAAAGGGCTTGAATGAAGTTCAAGTTGTCCAGGAGGATGATAAAAAGGGTAAGAAGAAGGCCGCACTCGCAGCTGCAGCTGCGGCGTTATCTGCGACCGGTGGAGTTCCACCACCAGCACAGAAGACTAGGTAGTGTTGAGAGTGGGGGGATAGTTACTAATATAAGATGTAAATAAAAGGAAATAATTAATATTTTATGTAATGAAGTAACTAAATATTATCTCTGTATGGAAACTGTCCTTTAATTAACTGTTTCAATGGGGCTCTCTTTACTATGACTCAATAACTGAAGTTGAAAAATCTCTAACTGGCCTATAATCTTCCAAATCAATACACTTCCACAAACTTGTATTCAACAATACCTTGTCGTCAATTCTTTCATAGATTAAACTAAGATACCACCAAACCTCTGGTTGGCTGTGACCATGTGGCCAACACAAGGTGAACTTCTCCAAATAATTTTTCAATCTGATGATACCAGCCTCTAAATCTGTAGCGGATATAAACAATGAAGATTTTAGCTGATCATCAATCATAAACAATTTACACAATCCTAATAAAGTGAACATGAAATCTTTCCTGTTGTAGTAGTTTTCATTCTTAGCCAATATTTCTAAAGCCTTTTCAAATTCTTGCAAAGAGAGGAATTTTCTTGACTTAGAAGTCAAATAGCCCAAACTAGAGAATGTCTTCACATTCAGTTCATAAACTGTCTCAGCTTCAACGATGCATTCTTCCGCTTGATCCAAGTTGCCAATTTTGGAGTAGACACTTGAAGCCCAAAGCCAAAGATCCTGTAGCAATTTGCGTTCTGCAGGGGTTCCACTATTCCTTGTGGATTTCGTAGAAGTTTGTCTTTCCGGAGTCTTCAGGGTCTTATGGTGATGAGAGGCAGTTTTCGATAAGCTTTTTAACTTTTCACTAATGTGTTCAATGTCATTGGACTTCTTTCTGCGCGCATGCCCATTTTCGTGTCCATTCCCGTTGACAGCAGGGTCAATAAAACTTGGTCTATGAGACCATGCATTATCTGTAGAAGCAGCTGCATGCTTCCAATTTTCACTATTACCTCCATTTTTGGAGTGTACTAAGACTTGATCGAATAATTCGTGGAATAACCCAAATACTTCAGGTAAAGCCTCAAGTATATAGTCAACTCCATAAATAGATTCTAGTATTGCACATTGAGTGAGTTTCAATTGAATTATATAATACTTCGTTTCGAACGAAAGCTTTATGGTTCCCTTGGACTTACTATACTTTTCAATGAAAAGAGCTGCAATGTTGAGTGCATTATTTACGAATTTTTCGGACTCAAACAGATAGCTAGGAGAGGAAGTACTGCGATTTATGGTTGTAGATGTTTGTGTGGTTATAGTAGTATCAGCAGTGGCAGCGGTTGTAGCATTATTAGAGCCTGATTTACCTAGGCTGTGGTCAGGGTTATGCAGTTCAAACAGTGTTAACAATAAAACAAGTAAATTCCAAGTTTTGAACGATTCTGGATACTTTTTCAATATAAATTTACAAAGCTTGGATGCCAGAAGCAATGAACGGTTATATGCGAGACAAAGTGCATAGTTAAACAAAAGCTCACTATTACCTGTGGAATTTACAATAAGCCCATTCTTGTAGAATTGCAATAGTTTGCCAATGTATAATTCAAGATTAGACTCAGTTGCAGCTTCGTAAGTGCTCAAAAATTCATAAAACCGACCCAAAGAGTACCAGGCTTTGGAAACAAGATCAATGTAAGAAGATCTGTCATCCAATAACACATTCAAATTGTATTTTTTGAACAAAAATGAAAGTTCATCAGTCTCGTCATCATCATCGTAGGTTAAATCACACATATTCTCCAATTCACCGAGATACCCGATAAGATCTCCAGATAATTTTTCAACCATCTCCACCACCATTTTTTTCGTGGTGTATTTAAACTTTTTAGTGGTGGAATTTATGAATGAATCCAACGGATTAAATGCAAGAATACACGCGGTGTAAGTATCAATGATAGAGAGGATGTTATCGATATATCCGAGCTTCTGTTCTTGGTCTATGTGCAAGTACTGAATGTAGGTTTTCATTGCTGCATAAGCTTCGTCAAATTCATTTAAACTGAGTAGCGTCTTGACCAAGTTGCAGATTACCACTTGACTTTGATAGGTTTTCGTAGTACAGCTGACCAAGAACTTGTTGGACAACGCTGGTTTTAAAATAGTATGATAGTACAGGACGTTGTTCAAACTTTCATACAAATTATCAACAAAAGTGTTGATTTCTTGGTGGTTCTGCAGAGCATTGGGGAATGAACGACTATCGAGCATTTTCACTTCCAACACCTTGCTCAACCAAGAAGCATATTCCTGCTTGAAGGACGGCGTGACTTTGTTCTTGTTAGAATGTCTAGAAAGGTAGTTACTAAGTGAGATCAATGAATAGTGGTTGGTAGCAAAGTCCTGCTGTCTTAAGTGATGAAACTCCAACTTACTAAGCCCGTCAGCAGTCAATACGTCAGTGAACTTATCGTACAAGAATTCCAACCAACGATTTGCCGCAACGTTACTTTTATTGAACAATGCATTCCAATTTAGCAAGTATTCATTCCAAACATGAGGACCACTCAACGCTACCTCCTGCTCGTCATTGACCATACCGGATATTCCTTGCAACACCTTATATCTACATGTCAAATATCGCAACAACTCATCCTCTCCAGTTGCCCCATTCACGTTGTTATTATTATCACTGGTTACGTGGATGGATCCAACAGCCCGGGATAATTCCTTGGGCTGGTTGTTTAAATAAAACAATTGTCCAATCACGGAAACATAGTAGAGACTCTCTCTATAGGTCTTGGACTGGTCGTTGTAGTTGGCCAGAATGGATATAGCATAGTCGATCAATTGAACCAACTTTTCGCTCTGGGAGTCGTAGCCATCATTCTGATCGTACACAGGTGCAAACTCTTGGCCCTGGAATTCATTCTGGATCAATAGCTGAAGCTGGTAGTCAATGAACGTTATCTGCTGGAAAAACTCTTGCGATTCTTGGAACTCAAGAACGTCCTTCGGGAACATCCCAAGAGTCAACGTTCGCATATTCGTTACATCGGCTGACGCGATGTACTTACTAGACATTTTTCACTCTACTATCAAATCCCTAACTGCCGTGGTGTACTACTGGCCTGGCTGTTTTTAATACCCTCCAATTTTTCTTCGGTGTCCTGGCGATTATTGAAATTTTTGTTGAAGTGAATGTGATAACCGTATCACGTGGACTTCTCACCATGTATCGAGAGTATGTTACCGAACAAAGGAAAAACAAGGTTGCGAACAGGCTTAGGAGTGCACGGGTAATGATGCCCTGAATGTGGTAATAAGTACGGTGAGGTGCGGCAGAGAGAAGCTGGATGTGGGATCAGGCGAAAGTGTTGATGTTTTTGAACTCACGCAAATGTGGGAGGGTGGTGCTGAGTATGCTGTAGAAGGATGCGCACTTCCCCACATTTACATGTACCGCTGGGGGAGAATGCACTGTAGGAGAAAGGATATGGAGAAGAATGTAGAGAGAACAATAATGGAGCTCGGTGTAGTGCTCTTGGTATGCGGTGAACACTATCTAAAAGCAACTTTACCCTACGCTGGTACTGTCTATTGGTATGTGCTAATAACCGTCTAGATGCTACTCAATGGCAGTACTGTCACATTAAGAATGTCTTTTGGGCATGTATTGTGTAGTCTGCAAATGCACTTTATTGCCCCAACACCATTTAGCCCGTACTACATTTGACAATTATTCGATTCCCTTTCCTTTATTATCCTTCTATTGAAAATTCCACTGCTATCCATGGCTAAACATCTACAACTTCAAATACTTCGTACAATCTTGTTTGTTCTATATATTCCATACCCACTACTCATTTGGCTCACACTACATTTGACATTTTCCAATGCTCTTTCCATTAGTATTCTTCTTCTTTTGAACACTTCACAGTTATCCATTGCCCTTTCCATTTATTTTTGCTATCCATCGTTCTCCCTGCTAATTTTGTTCAACATCTTTCAAATACCTTGTACAACCCCGGTAAGTCTGCAATTTCCATTACATCTTCCAACAAGTCGCTGGTAGCTATGAACTTTTGTTGCAACAGTGGAAACACTCGATTTTCTAGCTCTTGATCAAGCACATCCCTCTTAGCGTCATTCAACGCTTTCTCCTCATCTGTGCTCCCAGGTTCATTAGCAATCGGTTCCGGAATATAAAGTAATGCTATTTCCTTCATAATACCCTGTAAGCATTCTCTCTCATCTTCATAGTTGATGTTAGCCCCTAACCTGTAAAAGAAATATGGCAATTTATGTACCACAGGCTCGATATTCTTCAATATCATGGGAAGCGATATTAAATTGTTGTCCTGATCAAACTTGATCTTAAAATACTCTTCATACATATCCTTCATTGCAAAGATTCTTTCCACTACATCTTCTAAATCAACAGACGGTGAACAGTCGGAGGTATATAAATTCTGTAAGATCTCTCTGACTGATATCAGTTCCAGGATGATAAACTCTCCATAGTTGCAGAACTCGCTCAAAGCAAGCTGATAGTAAAACTCATTCAACGTTGCAGCATAATCACAAATAAACAATTTCACTCCAAACTGAAAGCTGCAAAGTCTACGCATTTCATCAATGATACCCACGTAAGTGCTGCCATTGAAGATCTCAGTCAACCCTTTATGATTTGAGTTGACCAATTCTTGTCTTAGTTGAACAATACTTGAAAGCTGGACATCCACTCGCTCATTTGAGTCGGTAGTATCATTATTGCTTGTATTTTTATTCATGAAGGAATGTAATTTAAATTGCTTTGCATCCGTACGAACTAACTTATTCTCTTGCCTATACTTTTTCAAGGGAGCCTTTTCTATATCTTCAATGGCTAAAGTCTCTGCTCCAATTGAAACTCCGGTGGTGCTCCTCTTTTCCCTTGTAAGCACGCTTTGCGTCTTAAATGTCCTTGAGGTATCTATTTTTGATAGCAAAGAATGCACTTTAGCACTCACTATGTCGATAATTTCATCCTCGTTAAGAAACCGGACTTCCTTCTTAGTCGGATGAACATTCACATCTACATTTTGAGGGTTTATCTGTAAGCTAACGTAAACGAACGGCTGGTTTCCCTTAGGCAAAAAGTATGCATAAATTGACATTATTGACCTTTTCAATGGGTCGCATTGAACAAGTCTCCCATTGATGAAGAGAACAGGTTGTATTTTCTTCTTATTCACATAATTGGAAGTAGTAATCGCTCCAAAGCAATCATAGAGTCCTAGATCCCTTGCCTCTTCACTAATTTCCATTTTAAAATCTATAATCTCATTTGCCACGGAACTACCAAATACAATTCTTATCCTTTCCTTTAGCGTAAGGTTTGGTCTTGTTATTAGTGCTTGATGCGAGTCTCCGAACTTCTTACAGCTGATCCCAACCTCCGAATGCACAGCATATCTACCTATCACGTCCAATATCTTAATAAACTCATCATTTTTCGATTTGGTAGCCTTAAGTCTTGCAGGAGCATTGTAAAATAGATCTTCTACAGTAATGGTGGTACCATTTTTGCCAGCAATTGGCTTAGGACTAGCCTCTCCAGCAGAGATTTTAAAGTTAGAATCTGCCAATTTACCATTGGAATAATACGCTTTGTATGCTACGGAAGAGTCCTTTGTCTTCGTTACTACCGACAACCGTGCAATATGCGAGATACTTGCCAACGCCTCACCTCTAAACCCGTAGGTTGCAATTGAAGATAAGTCTTCAAACGTAGATAGCTTCGAAGTCGCAAATCTCTCGCAGAGCAAACCCAAATCTTCCCTATCAATGCCACTACCATTGTCTGTTATCTGGAGCAACTTCAACCCTCCGTCCTTGACCAAAACGTCAATCATCGTAGACTTAGCATCAATCGCATTCTCTAGCAATTCTTTTAATGCGTTTGCTGGATGTATGATGATCTCACCTGCAGCAATTCTATTGATAACAGACTCATCAAGCTGAATGATACGAGGAGGAGTTTGGTCCACCATGCTATATTAAACTAAATACAAAGTGCCCTATATCCCAAAAAGGAAACAATCTTACCAATACTCACTGTTTCTCAATGTGGTTCCTTTTAGAAAGATATCAATTAGGTGCCCCAAACTTTTCTTCTATTTTGGTTTTGTAATTTTTCACTCTAGAACGCGCCTGCAAAGAGATGGATCAGCTAGATAAGCACTCGTTCTTTTATACTAAAGGACAGTAAGCAGTACACTTTTCTTTGCATTTAGAGCTATCTAAACACGATGGAACATCCACGTAAGAAACAGAAGACAGAAACTTCAGAGTTGCTAGAGAAATATGAGAGCCTCAAGGCTTCTCTTCGAGATCAAAACTCCGAAGCCCATAAAGGTGAGGCTACACAGTTGGTGATACATAACTTAAACAAGCTTAAGGAAATCTACGGAATTATCCAGAATGAACATAACAGAGACACAAGGGTGCAGTTGAAGGATTCAGAGATACTTCTGGATGCTTCTAAGTTTGCTGCAACTAACGCTCAAAACATCAAGCTCGGTGATCTGGGTGTAGCATTAAGTTCGGATGATGTGCTTCGTAAAATAAAAAAGTATATGAATCCGTATGCTGAGGAATATCCCGATGGCAATGACAGTGGAAATGTTGAAAATGGTGAGCCATTCTTCAATTCTTTCAACTGGTCTAAGCTAGGATCTCTTTATCTCCAAGTAAGCTCGAAGCCCATTTTCAATGGATTTCTATATGGTCCATTGGAGACTGAAAGAAGGAAGATTAACGTAAGAGCCAGAGTTTTGGACGATACACAATCGAATGGAGTTGTAACGACTGCTAAAAATGTGCAGGCTACAGACATTGAGTCGAACCAGGAGCAAAACACTGCTCATATGGTGAAAAATGTATATAGAAAGTTTATAGAAAACCAGGACGAAGAAGATGAAGATAACGAAGATGAGGGAGTGAACTTCTTTAAGTTTTTCATAAACCCGAACTCGTTTGGGCAGTCTGTGGAAAACTTGTTCTTTACAAGTTTCCTAATTAAAGACGCCAAGTTGAAATTGACCATGGATGAAGAAGGCACCCCCATTCTCCAGGGCGTAGATCCTGACGAACTAGACGGCGAAGACGACGAAGATGAAAATGATGAGGAGGAAACGAAAACTCATAATACAAACCATTTCATAGCTACTTTCACGTACAACACTTGGAAGGAGTTGATACGAAAGTATAACATAACAGAGACTTACTTGGGAAACCGGCCGGAGCCTGAAGATACATTTGAAGAAGACGATATATAATTACTTTTAAAAGAAGCACCGAGTTATAGGGCCAAGATGAAATATATATTCCTATTTACATTTATAATTTATAATTTAATGATTACTTTTCGATACCCTCTCATACTCTTCTTCTTTCACATTAATCCATCCATCAGAGCCGTCCATCTGTCTTAGCTCATCTAACGGCCATTTCCTGATGGGAAGTATACTCAAATCCGATCTGAGTCTTAATTCTTCAAACATCTCAATGCCAGCTATTCCTATCATGATTGCATTATCTGTACATAGCTCCAAGCTTGGGAAGTGAAAGTTTCCTTTATACTTTAAATCCTCTGATAGCTTAGTTCTTAATCTTTTATTTGCAGCCACACCACCAGAGAATATGAAATCGTTCACGCCTTTGAACAAATCATCTCCTGCAGCGGAATGCCTATCCAAAGCAAAGTTGATCCTGTCTAGTATGTGATCGAATAGCATTTCCTGAATCTTGTAAGCTAGAAACTGCTTAGTGTATTCGTCGAGCTCGTCAGCATTATGCTCCCGATAACCTCGAACTGAGCTTAAAAACCCGGAGAATGCAAATTTGATAGGCTCATTATTACTAGATATGAAAATTGGATTTTCCTTATCCTTTTGATCACGATGTTGACGATGTTTTGCCTTTTTTAGGGGCAAGGTCATTTTCAATCCAAAATCATTTAGACTTCGATCGCTGGTGTTTGTAGCTTGGAATATTTTCTTATCAGTATTTGGAATTGTATTTATGTAAACTTCTAGTTCCTTCCCTAACATATTGCCCTTGAAACCTAACTCTCTGGCACATTTATCCAAGGAATCTCCGGCTGCAATATCCATAGTGTTGATTATTATTCGATGGTCGTTTATTGATTTCAGTAACACCAATATAGAATGTCCTCCGCTACAGAGTAGACTCAAAAAAGGATACTTTGGTGGATTGGGTTTTGACAAAATGGACACTAATATATGTCCAAGCATATGGTGTACACCAATCAATGGCACTGACCATGCAATGGCTAGTCCTTTAGCAAGTTGCAATCCTGCACTTAGCGAGCCTACCATTCCTGGACCTCTGGTGCAGCAGATCAAGTCTGGCTTGGTATTCTGGTTTCTGGCTAAGAAATCTTGAAGTGTAGTCGATAGAGATGCCTGGTGATGCGAATGAGCATCTGTGGGTATTATCCCGCCTGTCTGGGAAGAATTTAAGGTAGTCTTAACATGGTCTACTATTTCTGGAATTCTTGAAGATGGAGATTTTTCTAGCAATGCAATACAGGAATCGTCGCAAGACGATTCAATAGCTAAAACCTTGTATGTTCGACGTCCAAAAGTAATGGGTAGTCCTCTTCGACGTCCAAAAGTAATGGATAGTCCTCTTCGTCTCAAGGTAGACCTGAACATTCGAGAAAATCCCACTAGGAATACGTAGGAAGAAGAACAGATACAGTGATCAGACTGTTTCGATGAGGGCATCTGTACTGCTATTTAACTAGCGATGCGACTATATGCAGGACAAGATTTGATGCATGTTCCAGCGAAGATTGCGTGGATACGACTGGGGTAAGGAGATGGTAGGAAAGTCTCTTCGGTTTTGCAGAAAGGGTGATATTGGGTACATTGCAGTATGCTGGTATCCACTCAAAGGCTCCTATGTAAATTCCGTGTAAATATTATATATGTAGCTATGGTGAATTATTGACCCACGATGGTACTCACGTACACACGCATGAGAACTATAATCAGGAAATAGCCATAGACAAGCCAGAATCGAAACGCTCTATCCGGACGCAAAGCTTTAATACACCATCTCAATTACTTCTAAGATGCCATCAGTGCTAAAATTCAAACATCCCAGCAAAGAAACCTCCTAATATTGCTTCATCACGAATGAGCCGGAGCCGTTAGAGCTTACTGGCCCTTTGCAGCCTTTCCTGTATATAACCGGGCACAGGAAATGGTGCTAAGCTGTGAAGAAGAGTTAGACAACACCCTTGATACTTTCTTCCGAAAGATGAGCTCAACGCTTCCTTCACTCATCCACATCCAATCTACAATCTAAAGAATCATGAACCCCACTTTTCATAAGCCAACCTGGCCAATACTGCTCCTCCTAAGCCAAATACCTGAATCTAATGATGTGTTAGTCCTGCATACAGCCCATCTTCTCACTTTTTTTTTTCATCAAATGGAAGCTTAAGCTTTTCGGTAAACACAATAGTCCAAACCCCGTTTTGTTTCTGGTTCAAGTCGGACATATCTGGTCGCCTATTATCGATCCGTGCATATATTCAAGCATAGAAACGCTTACGCAACTTATATAGTTGAAATTAGCCGGCATTCGGGAGAAATTTCTTACTTGTTTTCACTAGGAGAGAGAACCGACACAAGATTGAGTTTCTGAGATAGCTACAGCGACGAGACCTCCAGTTATTTATTACATTCTTTCACTTTATACTTTCAAAAACTTCATGATAATATAATATTCATTAGCGCAGTACCCACGAAACACCTTTTGAAGACTAACAAAGAAAATAAACCACAATCATTCATATGTCGTCCCCTTCCATATCTCCATCCACAAGTTTCATACCGCGTCATGATCAACCTCTGCACACACCAGCTATAAAGTCCACAATAGGCCATGGCGGTTCCAGTAGTGACGGAAATGACTCCGGCAACAAGAACGACAACGCCGAGAGCTCTCTTGGTTCGCTTTCTCCAATAATCAACTGTATGTTGGCCGGCGGACTTGGGGGAATAGTCGGAGATACTGCTATGCACTCGCTCGACACAGTGAAGACGAGACAACAGGGTCTCACTCACAATATCAAATACAAGAACATGGTTTCTGCATATTTAACTATCTTGAAAGAAGAGGGTTTGTTTAGAGGGTTGTACGGAGGCTATAGCCCTGCTATTTTGGGATCCTTTCCCTCGACGGCCGCATTTTTCGGGACTTACGAATTTACCAAGCGGACATTGATTGGAGATTATCATGTCAATGAAACAGCTGCTTACTTCATCGGGGGGATTCTAGGAGATTTAGCATCTTCTATCTTTTATGTTCCCTCCGAGGTTTTGAAAACAAGACTTCAACTCCAAGGAAGGTACAACAATCCGTACACCAAAGGCTCCGGATACAATTACAAGGGATTGGGGAATGCCATTTCATCTATTCTCAAGACGGAGGGCTCTGCTACGTTTGTATTCGGCTACAAAGAAACCTTGTTCCGAGACTTGCCCTTCAGCGCATTGCAATTTGCGTTCTACGAAAAATTCAGACAGCTAGCTATTTATTACAATAACCTGAGTCAGGAGCTTCCAATATCGATTGAACTTGCCACGGGGGCATCCGCTGGTGGATTGGCAGGAGTCTTGACGACTCCCTTGGATGTGATAAAGACTAGAATCCAGACAGCTACCACAACAACCATCAACTCCAATACTAGCTCGGGTGTAACCAGCACACCCAGAACAAGTACAAGATCCCCACTTTCAGCCATATTAAGCAAATCTTCCACAATTAAGGCGTTGGGATCGATATACAAGAACGAAGGGGTGCTCGGGCTCTTTTCAGGGGTTGGTCCCAGATTTATCTGGACCGGAGTGCAAAGCTCAATTATGTTACTATTGTACCAGGTTTCCTTGAGGAAGTTTGATGAAGTATTGGGCAACGGAAAGAATGTTCTTGAGTAGAAAAGGTATCCTAACTGTAAATTAGAAGATGAAAACTGTACATAAAACACACACGCACACACACAACACATACACACACATATATATACACATACATACATACATACATACACAACACATACATATATATTTACATGCGTACTAGCAATGTATCTATATATGTAGCCAATATTTATAAGAATTAGAAACTAACCATACCAATTCAGGGTGCTTAGCACTCCAATGTAGGCGCTCTAAGCACTGTATTTCACCTTAAGCTCTCAACACTGGCTTGAACCTACTCCTAGTGACTATAGGTACATCCTGTTACATGCACATGGTTTTTCCTTGTCGTCTGAGGCAAGTGCAAATTTAAAAGAACAATTGCAAAAAAGGCAACTTGTCCGAGCGGTTAAGGAGAAAGACTTGAAATCTTTTGGGCTTTGCCCGCGCAGGTTCGAGTCCTGCAGTTGTCGCCATTTTTTTTGAGTGCAGAGTAAATCAGCATCAAATGATAAGCAGTGAACAAATAGCAAGTAGTGAACATATATGTAGCATGGCTACAGTTGAACTCTTCACGAAATGACCCCTAACACCATATTCTACAAAGCCTTCCATTGACACTACACTCGTCACCATCACTCTTCGGTATATGACTCGAGAGACGATAGTCACGTGACCCGATATGGGCTTGACATATGTTCGGAATCATGAGATGCGGAATACCCTCTTACGTTGTGTGGTATTACTGACCCTGTGGTAGGCATATAGAGACATAAAAGAGCGTGGTATAGAAGTTCGGTTCAGTTCACTGTACTTTTGAGCATTTAATATTTTTTTTTCACGTTTTCTAACTTTTTTTCCACACTTTGAAATTTGTTTCATATTGGAGCATTACTAAGTTGCACTGAACATGGTCAAGATAATAATACTCCGTCACGGAGAGTCTGAGTGGAACCACGAGAACAAGTTTTGCGGGTGGATTGATATACCATTGCTGGAGAAGGGTAAGCAGGAGGCAGATCATGCTGGAGAGCTAATATTGAAGGCCAAATTGAAGCCCATTGCCATGTACACATCAAAGTTGACCAGAACGAACCAGACAGGTTATATCATCTTGAACAAATTGAACCGATTATGGTGCGATTCGTTCAAGTCATGGAAGCTAAATGAGAGGCACTATGGGTCCTTTCAAGGTCAAGATAAGACCAAGATTTTCCAGGAATTAGGCAAGGATAAGTATGACTATATCCGTAGAGACTACAATGGCCGGCCCCCTCCAGTCGTGGGGGATGATCTGTGCATTGATGAACGATACGACGATGGCAGAACGTCAGCCGACGAATTGCCCAAAGCAGAATCCTTGAAAAATGTCTCTGAAAGGTTTATTCCGTACTTCAAAGAGGAGATATTTGCCAAAAACTACAAACAATGCTTGAAAGACGAACAGCGTGCCATTCTTATAGTCATGCATGGGTCACCTGTTAGGGCATTCATCAAGCATTTCACCAACGTCAGCGAGAAAGACATACTGAAGATCAATATCCCCACGGGGATTCCGATAATCTTCGAGCTAGACGAGAACATGGAGGTTATAGGAGACTACTATTACTTGGATAAGGAAGCCGCTGAGAGGGGCATAAAGAAGGTGAGTAACGAGGGAAGGGCAAAGTAGAGGATGAGTGGAAAATGGCTGACGAGCAGTCACTTATATAGAGTTCTCCAGTACCGAATCTTTTCCTGGCTGGTCTCATGAAAGATACGGAATTTTGAGTCAGAAGTGCCATACTATTGCTCAGTTTTACATACCTATATAAACATTCAATACTCCAGAGTATCGAATAACACACAAATTATAGAATTGAAGTTGTAACTTAAGCTAATGAGCCCATAGGGTCGTAATATGGTAAGGTGGTGTAGTCCTTATTCTTCCAGATACTGTAAACTTTCTTGTCGACAAAGGACTTGTTCGTGACGATCTGGAATACATATTCGTCAAACCACTTGTCACTCATAAGATAGTATCCCTTGTCACCAGTGTCATCACCCCAAGAGTTCTCAATTTTCCATCTGATTGGAGCTTTCGTGGTTTCGTCTAAATGGACTCCCGTGATCACCATGGCGTGGTTCATTGCCGAGTTTCCTACTCTGACTCTTTCTTCTTTGCTCAATTTCAATGAGGTGCCGAACCCCAAGTCGTAATCAAAGGCGTCAACATCCAAGATCCCAGTTTCTCTTGAAAGGAACTTGCCCACATCAGAACCGAAGAAAATAGGTTCGTTTTTTTGCAACATCTTAATAGCAACCTTCTTTAAAGCAGAAATTTCCAAGTTGACATATTCAATTGGCTTACCGTCGCTAATGTTCTTCAATCTGTCAACAGTATAAAGCTTGCCGTACTCGTTTCTAGGGTCATTTAACAAGGAAAACTGCTGTGCAGCATCGAATCTAACATGGCTGGTGTAGAAGTCCAAGGGCGTAGTTTGGAACGACTTGTAGCTTCCATCCTTATCAATAAATTCCCACTTAAAGGAATCTGTAGGCTTTGGAGGAGATCCGAGTGCAATTGCAATGATGTTGTACACTTGTTTCATCATCGACTGCTTTACAAGTCCAACTTGTTCGGCGGATTCTCCGTCCTTAACCAACTTTCTCAAAATAAATCCGTATTCTCTCAACTTGGCAACAAGGAATCCATTCAAGCCAGATGAAGCCTGTGCGTTGAACAGGTCTGGGAACACTTCTTGTGGAACAAGCCCATACTTGGAAACCAAGTTAACAATCATGTCCCATTGACCACCGTCACTGATTGGGTCCTTTAATAAATGGTTCACCAATCTTGAATCTAAGTCTTCGTCAACAGTGTCGAGAATATTGTCCAAGAAGAAGTTAGCCTTCTCCAACTTGTCGTAGAAGAACAAGTAGCTTTGAGACAATTGGAACTTCTCTGGCGATAAGTTGTAGTTCTTGATGACGTGACTTCTCAAGACGTTACAGGTAGCGAAGATCCAGCATCTTCCCAGGGACTTCTGGTTGTTGAAAAATGAAGGAGATCCAACGACGTCAACCTCAACATTGAAAAGGAATTTATCAGAGTTGGTCAATTTCACGTTGGTCTTGGATACAATCTTGTCAATGGAGTTAGAAGTAATAGCAGCTTGGGCCAACTTGTTCTTAGGATCCGACAACAACTTTGATTCCCAGGAGTCCAAAGAGTCAATGGAGATTGGGTTGGATGATCCGTGGTACGTGTCGTCGAGCTGCAAGCCACGAAGCTTGGAGTTGATGGAGTAGTAGTTCAACTTTTCATTGAAGACCTCCTGGCGCGCCACTGGCGAGGGGATAGCGGTTGGCTTTTGAGCTGATGGTGTGTTACCCATGGTGTTAACCTTGTAATAAATTCCGATTGAAAAGGGTAAACTGAAAAAGAGCTCAGAAACCGTACCCACAAAAGAAAAGGCTCGTTATTTATAATTACTATGGGTATCCTACCTTACCATCCACCCCCTCCTCACCTCCCTGTTTCAATCGCTAAGATTAGACATGGGGACCGTGCGGCTCATCAGATGTGGATTGATCTTGCGGGACAGCTCAGATAAGGAGTGCATGTAAGCGCATGTGAGAGAATGAAAAGTGGCGTAGACAGCGCACAGCACCTGTGTGCACCTGTGTGCACCAGGGGAGATGGTGATGAGAAGAGCTCATAGAGGGACAGTCAATTGGCACCCACGCAGCGGTTTTGATCTATTTTACACTGTATTCAAAGGCAATTGGGTGCGGTAAATCTGCCTGTAGGCTTTATTTGGCTGTTTCAGCTTCTCTTCGGCACTAATACCGGTACCTGCTATGGTTCACTGGTCGGTAACCACTGCGTCCCAGCTGTGCTTTTTTATTTTTTGCCATGCGCGAGTGTGGCACAACTACGCCAGTAGCATTTAGCTGCTGCGGTGAGCCCGAAATCTGAAAGCGATGCTGCTGTATAGGGAAACAGCGGGCACTGACAGCGAGATACAGAGATGCTGAAGAAACCGAAGAAACAGGAGATGCGGGAGAAACTAAGAAACTGAGAAGCTTAGAGAATAGTACAACAGTGCAGTGTACAGCGAATCGGCCACGTACTACCACGTCACCAGCACTTTACCTGTCGCTCAGCTATACGTGCCACTTACTACAAGCTACTTGTTTAAACGCTAAAACCTTGTTGGGCTCTGGCTGGAACTTGTCTTGCACTGTTTCTAAGAACTGCTCCCATCGAAAGAAAAAAAAAAAAACAATAAATAGAAACAAAAAAGGAAAACAAAAAAAAAAAAAAAAAAAAAAGAAAAACATCTGGAATTGCGCTCCTACACAGTTCATCGCATGCACCTAGCCAGGCTGCTAGAGCCTGAAACCCTGCTCCATCCGTGTCATATACTAAGGCCATCCTTCCTATCTCACCCTGTCCACCCCCGTGTAGTTACTCCCGTGTTCGTCCTCCTCACCCTAGGGTGTTTCCCTTCTCGGGGCCGCAGTCATGTCTCAAACAGATAGTCTCGCCGCGTGTATCGTGACCACAGTTTTAGCTTTTGCACTGATCCATTAGCTTAAATAATGCACAGTTTTACGAAAAATTCGGTCACGTGTTTGCCACCGAACCTTCGCGAAGGGTCTTTCTGGCACTAGCTCCGCTGACAAATCCGGATATAACTGCATACAGTGCTCTGGTCCCCCTAAATTGTCAATTATTTTGAGTCATATCCCGGAATTAATGCCAGGGTAGTGCCAAACCCTCGTCATTCTCCTCGTATTCAGGAGCTTTTCTTTCTTTTTGTTATTGTGTAGCAATTTTATAGATTAGGAAATTTTATAAAATAGAACTACAGCCCGCCATAGTGGTCTCTAAAATTTAGCTGCTTCTTTTCTTTTGCTTCCCTTCAATCTTTTTGAATCCACTTATTTAGTATTAGCATTTAAATCTAGAGAGAACTATTTATCTTTTTGAAATAAAAAGCAGTAGTAGTAGTATATATAACCCATAAATTTTTGTGAGAAAGAGAACTCGATTACTAATAATCTAGAGATCTTCCCACACGAGCTTATATATACGAAGAAAAAACCAAACCCCCCACCCACTCCAGCCTACGTTGTCATCTTCATCCAACACATTTAACCAACTCCCTAACGAAGGTAGTTACAACGACAACAACTTTATTGATTTTGAAATGACCTCACTCGCAGTATTCTCTCCATTGAAGAGAACCATAACCGATATTATGGAAGATGATTTGTATCATCTTCCTAACAATTCCGGAAGCAGTTTTAACGTGAATAACGTTCAGCAACAACAACAGTCTCAACAACAACAACAGCCTGCTGGCAGGATGAATAGCTTTGGATCTCAACAGCAACAACCTGTGAATTACCAGCAATCTTCATCTCAACAGTTTCCCTTTCAACCTTCCCAGCAAGTCACCCAGCAACCTACTCCAACCCTTACCAGCGCACAATTAAATTCCATGTTTAACAGTCTACCTGACTCATACATAACACCATATTCTTTGGATATGAATGATCAACAACAGTCACAACAGCATAGTAATATAATAACGCCGGAGCAGGTATTTTCTGGAACCGTCGGAAAGTCACCTTTCGCTGATTATGCTAACCCAGATTCACAATTTGGAACTTTCTTCGGTAACAACACTGTCAACAACACTACAAGTAATGTTCCATCTACTAGAAGACGCTTTACAACCCTCGAATCTCATTCAAACGAAAAACCAATTAAAGACGAAGACTACTATCTTTTCAATACTGATATACAACCTTCCCATTTGGTCTCCAAGAATGACGAGGTGAATTTGTCAAACGACGATTTCCTTTACTTGAATACTCCACTTTACGTTCCTCCAAAGCAGACTCAAGAGTTTCCAATTCCAGGTTATGAGAACGATTACCTCATGATGTCAGGAGTTGAAGATTTTGAAGAGGATATTGAAGATCCTATATCTTCTGATGAAGAAGATGAAGACGACTACTTCCATGATGACTTCGATGAAATGATAATGAACGATCTTCCTCAACCTTTGGTAAATGATTTCGTTCAAAATCAACAACAAGTGCATCCTCAAGTTCAACAATTTGAGCAAGAGCAAATGTCTCATCGTCCATCTAGCATCTCATCTTCTTCATTAACATCTGTTCCAACTACCGGCTCTACTTATCATGATAACAGCTCATTCGATAGATTGGTTTTCTCGTCTCAAGAGAACATGCCTTCGGTAGATGATATAAAACTTGATGACGATGAGGATGATGAAGACTACGGTAATACCCAAGAAACTACTCCTGAACAAGATTTTGAACTGAGTCCTGTGAACAGTATTCGTAAACTTCATAATCACTTTGAAGCCTCCAATCACCAGACTGCTGCTGAAATAACCGCCAATAATCCAAACCATCAATGTGACTTAATAAATCCATCCACTAGTCAACCTTGTAACAAGCAATTTTCAAGGCCTTATGACTTAATTAGACATCAAGAAACCATCCATGCATCCAAGAAGAAGATCTTCAGGTGTGTTATTTGTGAAGGTAGATTGAATGGTGGCCCTGGAAATGGAAAGCTGAAGACCTTTTCTAGAGGTGATGCCTTGTCTAGACATATTAAGGTCAAGCATGGTTTAGTCGGAGACGAAGCGATAGAATTGATAAATGATGCCAAAGCCAATGTTGAGTTTATTTCTGTTTAATTAGCTTGATGTTACAAGATTTTAATCTTCAACTTTGTGCTGGGCTTTACACATATAAATACTTATAATAACATATAAATAGCTTATACCATATGAATTACAAATAAAAAATTTTTTTATTAACTAAACGATGTCCTGTAGATGTTTCTATTCATACTTTCGGGCACTCCTTGTAGTCATTTGTCCCCTTTTGGTCTCTCGTGTTCCCCTGGAACCATCCTACTCCCCTCTTACTTCCACCTCCCTCTTGTCCGTCTCGCTAGCTATGGATCAAAAGAATTTAAAAAAAAAAAAAAAAAAAAAAAAAAAAGAGGTTGCAACCATGCGGCTCAGAATTCTGTGCACTCCTCAATACGTCAATATGAACAAGGACTTAATATCTTCATGGAGGTGGCCCCAGTGAAGCAGAATGGCTGCAATACCATCCAGAAACTCATATTGTCTAGCAAATTGTCAAAAGACGAACTCTATGTACTAGGAAAGGTAGATGTTGCGAGTTTTTTCTGATCCGAAATTGTTTTTTGAGTGCTTGGGCTAGATGAGTCTTTTTTGTCTTTATGTTCAAGTGCTCTTCTTCCCTCAGACATTCTTCTTGCTGACCTTCACAGGATATAGCCTTCAGTAGGCTATATCAGTTATCAACATTGCAGTACCACAAGATCCAAAAACCCCTCAATTTGACCACGGACCCGACTTCGGTGTGTCCAATATTCCTACGCTTTTGGATGCTATCTTATTTTCTATTGTTGCTGACTCATGGGCTTCGGAGTAAAGGAGCACTCCGAGTTTTCTGTGGGGAGAGGTTGCAAACAAGGTACTCGTATAGTACCACGATGCTGCTTTGAGTCTTGATGTATGATTAACAAATAGTGCTCATTCACTATACATCCGGATTACATTTACCCTCTCTGGTTATTACCGAGGGTGGTTTGAGTTCTAGGTTAGAGTTTGTGTTGCTAAAGTGCCACTTTTCTTTTTATTTTGGTGACTGAATACTTAGCCGTTGAAAAGGACCAGAGGAAGAGTATCACTGGTAGCCTTGGATTCGGTATATAAACAAGCCATAATTCCCCCAACCATTACGTTTCCACTCTAGTATACTGAAAATCAACTATTATACCATAAACTCTAAAAAGTATACAGTAAGTATAGCAACATTGAGGCCACACACCAAGGCAGATTAGTACTGGTACCTTGACGCATTGAAAGCAGCGTAGACCTCACACTTCTAAGCTGTAAATGCGGCACTGTTATGCCCTGACCCCTAACACTGGAGTTCTCTATTTAGTGCGTCTTGTGTAACCTAATTAATACTTGGTTACCTTGCTACCTTTTGGGAATGCTGCCACCTGTTGTACCACGCATGAACTCCGTGGTTGCGAAAATTAAGATAACATACCTACTAACACAGTGAACCGATAGCTTTAAATCATTACATAGAGAATGCCTTATTCCGCTATCGACATTAACGAAGAAGAAAAATTCTTCCAAGAACAAGTCCAAGAAATTGGTAACTGGTGGAAGAACCAAAGATGGGCCAAGACCAAGAGAATCTACCAACCAGAGGATATTGCAAGAAAGAGGGGATCTCTTAAAGTCAAGTACCCTTCAAGTGACCAAGCGAAGAAACTATACAAGTTGTTGGAAGAGCACAATAAGACTAAGTCTGTTTCTTTCACTTTCGGTGCTTTAGATCCAATTCATGTTTCTCAGATGGCCAAGTACGAAGACTCCGTATACGTCTCTGGTTGGCAATGTTCTTCTACTGCTTCTACTTCTAATGAACCATCTCCAGATTTAGCTGATTACCCTATGGACACCGTTCCAAACAAAGTTGAACACTTATGGTTCGCTCAATTGTT